TTTCTCTATTGCACCACTTAGTGTACTCCTTCCAGTTAAGCTGACACATGGTCATATATCTAATGTTCTGTATAAAGTGATGTCGCCCGTGTCACCGCCACCGAATTTACCATTTACACACTCACACACACACTCACACACACAAACACACACACAAACACAAACACACAAACACACACACACACACACACACACACAACCAAACACACACACACACAAACACAAACACACACACAGACGCAAACACAAACACACGCACACACACAAACACACACACAACCAAACACACACACACACACACACAAACACACACACAACCAAACACACACACACACACACACACACACACACACACACACACACACACACACACACACACACACACACACACACACACACACACACACACACACACACACAAACAAACACACACACACACACATACACAAACACACACGGGCATCCATACTTACTACTAATATACGACGTGACAGCCGCAGACCCACCAAACATTAAGCTCTCTGTATTATAGGCATGAAAGTGTAATATATATTTAGATAATTAAAGGGAAGTTAAATCAATAAGTCATAAAAATAAGAGGTAATGTATACCAGATATTATAACAAGAATTGGCGCCATCTTAGAGTGTGGGGACACACTCTTTGTCAGAACGGGGGTCGTATTATAGGCATAACATTACAGTAATTACCAACTCTGTAGGACACATACTTAGACTAATAGAGAGAAATCAAAACAGTAAAACATAGGTATAAGAGAAAACTACGCGTTGGAAAAACGTATGATGAATTCATAACGTACGTAGTTAATAACCAGGGGGAAGGAAGTTGCAGCCTTAGGGAATAAAAACACTTGGCCACTGATATATAAAGACAAAAGCTAGTAGGTTATATACACAAGGAAGGAATGTTGTATATCAGAGCAGTACGATAGTAATAACATCAGAAGGAATATACAAGCTACCAGACAGAGAGTAGGTATAAGAGGCCAAGCAGAGACTGACCACAGATACACATTTATCATATAACGGGTAGGTTTCTCGGCAGGATAAAGCCAACGGATAAAAACTATATCAGTTGGGGTCATATGCGGATAGAGATGCAAATATCAAAGGTCAAGTAGGACTACTTTCACTGTATATAAACAAACATGGCGTCGCCCTCGTCATTCGGGGATCGAGTCAGAGTTAACCATCGGCAATCTGGATAAACTACAGGGATAATTGCTATCATTATCAAAAGAACAGTCTAATATACTGAAAATCCGTGTCTAGCTGTGACGTAGATAAGGCATTTTATAAGTTTGGGCAACTTTGGAGATGTAGGGCCTAAATTTGAAACAATTTTGCGGGGGCACGAGGCCTAGCCAAGCGGGATCAGTAGCCATATCTGTGCTTGTAGACCTCTGCGGCTTGAAACCTTCACCACAAATTAAAATAGTTGGATTTGGCCGAAATATATGTGAATTGTTACCTTGTTGCGTTTTGTCGCTGTGTGTACATCTGACTACACTTCTTAACGTTATGACAGGACAGACCGACTGTCAACAAGGTCTGACCGTGGCCGTGACGTCTCAGAGACTAGGGTTAGAGTAGCTTCCCTTTGACAAAGGGCAGTTACTCTAGCGAACAGACCGATGGATTGCCGCAAAAGGCAATTAAAAACAATTGTTGTTTTGCGTTTATGTTGCTTCGCCACTGTATAAGAAATAGATTTCATTTGGAACTATATTGGCTACTGTCACTGTCCGACTGACACGTCACTTACCCTCTGACGTAATAAATATTAATGCGCGCATTGCAGGAAAACTCGCAATGTTTCGATTATGTTTGTGAGAGAGGGAAAGCGATTTTTAAGCACAGAACTAAAGAATGACATTATATGATAAAGAGGTCATCACGCTTGTGTGTTTGGGGATGGTAAATATCCTGTATTAGGAATAAACACTATGTATTTAGCTCGCCAAGGCTCGCTAAATACAATGTTTATTCCTAATGCAGGATATTTACCATCCCCAAACACACTCGCGTGATAACCTCTATATATCGTATTGGGGGAATAATCCGGATTCCGGGAATCAAGGAGTTCATATTACAAAAGACCTATTAGGGATTTTGATTTTGATATTCACTCTAGGACTGGTGCTCCGCTCACGATCACCAGAAACCAAACTTAGGCACCAGCATTTCGACTGAGACTGAAGCTTTGCGGCCGACGTCGCGTATTTAAGAGACAAATAGAGTGGGTTGGCCGCAACACAAAGTGAGAATAAAAGCTGTCAAACAAAGAACAACCTGGTGGAACTTGCTGGTGGAACTGCGGTATAATTAAGGTCCAGGGTCCATCGGGTATTGACGTTGTACCTCTCGCAGCATCCCAAATCGTCAGGACCGAAGTACGAGGGAAAATACCGTAGTTCATGTGAAGGTACGCGAAATGCTACCTTCCAATTACCGTCATTAACATTCTTAAATATACCTTGGACATCTGTTGTCAGTACAAATTGTAATACGCTCTTCAAGTTGATTTCTATCTGCTTTTGTGTGCAAATTCTTTTACCGCTCATACTTGGAATATAGTAGGAAAATGTAACTCTGCATTTTATAAACAAACTTTTTGAAATTATTTTTTGAAAGTGCCTTCCGACTGAGAAACAACTACGCTCCTATAAATGTTAATGCGGTCGGAGCAGATGTTTCAATCGGAGGTTGTTGTTGTGGTTTGAAACCTAAGGCTCGAGTACTTGTCAACTATGTCGATTTATAGATTATATATTTTTAATTTCATCAGTTAATTGGATTTGAACATGAAACAAGTCAAAATATCGATGTTTTGTTTTTCATTTGATAAAAAAAGTAATTATTTGTGTTTATAAATGCTTTCTCTATAAACACGAAGAAAAAACAATCAATTTGTTGTTCTCTATGGTCGTTTGTAAAAGATTAATTCCACATTATTTTCTTAAAATTTATTCAAGAAAACTAAAGTCATATTAGACGTGTATGAAGGGTTTGTATAAGAGTGGATGGTATACACCTGCACGGATGTCAGTTATCATAATCAGCAGGGCTTCAAGACTACCTGATTACTCTTTGACCGGTTCTGCCTTCGGAGCCCAGGAGGGGCGGTCGGGTAGCCTAGAGGTTAAAGCGTTCGCTCGTCACGCCGAAGACCCGGGTTCGATTCCCGACATGGGTACAATGTGTGAAGCCCATTTCTGGTGTCCCCCGCCGTGATATTGCTGGAATATTGCTAAAAGCGGCGTAAAACCATACTCACTCACTCACTCGGAGCCCAGGAGAACAGGAGCCCAGGAGCCCAGGAGTCCGACAAGATAATCTGTACTGTATAAAAAGTGTGGCACAATGCCTTCGCTATAGGCAGAATTGCCTTGACCTTTTGAATAAGTGCCTCCATTAACTGTATTGTATTGATTGTTAGTTTTAACAACACAGAAATAATCATTATAATGTGGGTATGTAAAAACTGCAGGTTGATAATGTAAGTGAGTGCGTATGGTTTTACGCCGCTGTTAGCACCCCTTGATAATGTGAGACCGCCTCCGTGGTCTAATGGTAGAGCGTCTGCCCGGAGAGCGGAAGGTCCGGGGTTCGATCCCCGACCGCGTCATACCACAAGACGTTAAAAGACTTGTTGTTACCCTGTCTGGCGCTCGGCATTAAGGGGCTAAAACAAGGACTGGTCGGCTCGGAGTCAGTATACTGTGTTTGAGTGGGGTATTCATGTTAAACTGAGGCATGGTATCTCAGTGTGATAGCACTTAGTCTATAAATCGGCATCAGTCCGGACTAGTACAAGCAGCAACACACATACACATACACGTGCATGCACGTCGCTATATAAGTGCAATAATCCTGGACCCGACGTTAAACCCCATTTCACCTCACCCTGATAATGTGAACAAGAACATCTCTATCATATAATTTGTTGAGAGGTGTGCAACGAAGTCACAGTGTTGTGGCTGTAGGCCGCTGTCAGCAATATTTCATCAATATGACGGCATGGGGCATCAGAAATTGGCACTCAATGTCCCCATTTGACCACTATGTCGAGTCTCACCCATTTGTCAGACGCATTAAACACACAAAGGCCACGGGGGGCACGGGAGCCAGTCCTCTTAGGCGCCGCGATTCGCTGTGCAGAGTTGCGTCCCTTGGGCACGCCAGAAACCTATGGTTGTTGGTTCGAATCCCGGTTGGCCCAGATTATGTTTCTAGGTTTGTCAGCACCATACCCATGCTCGTGGGTTTCACCGAAGTGGTAAACGTCTGAGACCTCCACCACTTCGGGCTTTCCTCCCACATAAAGCTGACACGCCGCGATATAACTGGAATACTGTTAAAAGCGGCGTTAAACCCAACTCACTCACTCACTCATAAAGGCCAAGTATGCCTTCTCCCACTATCCAAGGGTACACGTTATAATTACCACCCAAAGTATCAAATATTTTGAGTTACGAAATAAGAACAATATCAATATGCCGCTGCACGAACCGCTACATGCCAGCATTCATTTATACCTTCCTCAATCAAACTATTGGACCCGTCAAGACCCGGGGTAGAATAGGTCTACGGCAACCCATGCTTGCCGTAAAAGGCGTCTATGCTTGTCGTAAGAGGCGACTGACGGGATTGGGTGGTCAGGCTCGATGACTAGGGTGATGCATGTCATTGTATCCCATTTGCGTGGGCCGATGCTCATGTTGTCAATCACTGGATTATCTTCCCCAGACTCGATTATTTACAGACCGCCGTCATATAGCTGGAATATGTGCGGCATTTATTGTAGAGAGGGGGATGTCATAAAACATTGTAATATGTATGGGGGACATGATTTATTGCTTCATAAAATTGGGTCGGGGGCGGGGGGGGTCGATGTACAAATACTCTGGGTCACAAATCAGAGTTGGCCAACATGGTGCAATAATGCTGACCTACTACCGCTGTGCATATAAGGCGTAAAGCTGTCTGTTATCTGGCGTGTTGAGATAACGTCAGACGCCTCCAGCAAGTCTAGTTCAACACAATGGACGCCCTGACACTGTTACTTGTCGGAGCTGGAGTCGTGGTTTGTGTCATCCTGCTGGGCTATATGTGAGTATCACGACCACGTTCATTACTCACGCCATACATATATAGCACATTATGTAAGTGGCATCGCATGACACGAACTGTATAAAGCAAACACCGATTGCTCGGTCCACGAATATGTCGTAGCTCAGCGGAAATAGCCGAGGATGTCCGAGAAAAGTGAGATTATCGATCGCCTGAATGCGACCTGAAGGCGGACTTCTGTATAAATTCACAAGGAGCTTGTCAAAAGAGCCTAGTCAGCTAAATATTTTATTCTGTGAAAACAAACCACCCGGAAACCCCAGCGTCTAGACTATTACTGCTTGCCAGCGTCAACATATTAACATGTTATCAAATGTGTTTATCCGCGCGATTAGGCTTGGGCCAATTTCGTCTAAATTAACGAGGTTTTATTGTTTCGACTATTGGGGATAATTACAAATCGTAATGCTCTATTCAAATAAAAGCGACAAAACCCTTTCCATAATCATAAGAAATCGGTCCATTATACGATTCCGACGGAATTGCCTAAAAGCCGGGCCAGCGGGTAATACAAAAATGGATTGCAGAATAATAAAACGAAACGTGCATATCTAGGTAGATCTCAATTGTCCAGAAACGCATAGTTTTGCTCATTTAATTGAGTTTGACTCAAAATGCATTTTCAGCAATGTAATAAACTGATAATTATAGCTACACACCGAGAGTCCTCGTAGAAAAGTCAGTGTCTTGACCGTGTCTTATCTTTGACGAGAAGGTTTCTCACCGACCTTAGCGTGTAGGGGTGTGATGTCCTGGGCAGGAAACGACAGTGTATTGACTACTCTTCTTTCATTAATTACCGTGTTTGGCATCCCTAATTAACCTTTACTAATTCATGTTAAACCAACACAGGATATTTTCTGCAAGTGGATATTCGCGAATGTCATAGGGCTGACACGACACGTGTCAATAACTGTCAAAGCGATTCTAAAATTACAATACTAGACTAGTATTATATCTATCTATATACCACTTAAGTGTCTCGGTAGCAAACATGGTGAAGCCCTTTTCCCTCCACATTCTCCACATTCCCTCCACATTCTCCACATTCCCTCCACATTCTCCACATTCCCTCCACATTCTCTCTATCAGAAGTGTTTGGCTTGTGTTGGGTCCGACTTGGTCCGGGCTGTCAAAATCTACTTTAAACACACAGATCTATCTTCAAATGTGTTTACATCTATGGACTAGTGTTATATCTACCTATAAACCACTTTACAGTGTCTCAGATCGCTGTACTTAAAGAAAACAAGGTGCTCAAAGTGAAGCCCTTTTCCCTCTACATTCTCAACATAGTCTCTATCAGAAGTGTTTGGCTTGTGTTGGGTCCGACTTGGCCCGGGCTGTCAAAATCAACTTTAAACACACAGATCTATCTTCAAATGTGTTTACATCTATGGACTAGTGTTATATCTACCTATAAACCACTTTACAGTGTCTCAGATCGCTGTACTTAAAGAAAACAAGGTGCTCAAAGTGAAGCCCTTTTCCCTCTACATTCTCAACATAGTCTCTATCAGAAGTGTTTGGCTTGTGTTGGGTCCGACTTGGCCCGGGCTGTCAAAATCAACTTTAAGCACACAGATGTATCTTCAAATGTGTTCACATCTATAGATTAGTATTATATCTACCTATATACCACTTTATAATGTCACAGTGTATCGCATCTAAAGAAAACTGGTTCGTTAAAGTCAAGCATTTTTACTGTATTTTCTTAAGAAAATCTATGTCAGAAGTGTTCGGTCCGACTTGGCCCGGGCTGTCTAAATCAACTTAAACCTCACAGATGTATCTTCAAATGTTCACATCTTTAGATTAGTGTGATATCTCTCACAAAAGGAGCGACATGTTACACTATGTATGGTCATCACGCTGCATCATGTAACTCAGTGCGAAGCACTGTAAACAATAAATCCTTGATTCCTTGAAACCTTAAATCCTTGCATCATGGAACAATTAAATCTTTGAATCCTTGAAACCCCGAAGCATTGATTCCTTGAAACATGGAACAGTTGACTAATTAAATCTTTATCTTTTGATTCCATGAAAGCTTGTAACATTGAATCCTTGAATCCTTGGGTCATTTAAACATTTAATCTTTCAATCTTTGATTCCTTGACACATTGAATCATTGAAACAATGGACAATTGTAAGGTTAAATATTGAAATCTTTTCAATCTTTCATTCCTTGAAACATTCAATCCTTGAAACCTTGAAACCTTGGAACATTGAATCCTTGAATCCTTGAACAAAGCGTATTGTGTGTGTTCAGATACGCCACATGGACACACGACATGTTCAAGCTGATGGGGATCCCCGCGCCGGAGCCAGGCCTGCTGGGGATTGTGACCCGCTACAAGACAGAGGTATTACCGTACATACTCACATTATAGCAGCAGCGGCAAGTAGACGAGTAGTCATTGTTTGTTTCTTTGTTTGTTCCTTAACGCCACACTCAGCAATAGTCCAGCTATATGACGGCGGTCTGTCAATAATCGAGTCTGGACAAGACAATCCAGTGATTGACACCATGAGCATCGATCTACGCAATTGGGATACAAGGACATGCATTAACCAAGTCAGCGAGCCTGACCACCTGATCCCGTTAGTCGCCTTTTACGACAAGCATGGGTTGCTGAAGAACTATCCTACCCCGGATTTTCACGGGTCGAGTCATCATTGACAAACTGGGCGCAGTCTGTTTCAGAAACCTCTAGACAATGAAAACAAAAAAATCATACTTCCAAGGTATTTAATATTTGTCTTCACAAGTATGTTCGGAATGCAACGCAGAGAACTTCAAACAATGTTTAACATGTTTACCACACTCGTTATCATACTAAACGTAAATGTTGTTTCACGCCCCAGGCACTATATCACCAACATTCCACCTAAATCACGTTGGTCTGTAAATAATCGAGTAAGGACCAGGCAAACCAGTCACTACAGCATGTGCACGGATCCACGCCATTTTATTATGATCACAAACGAGAAGAGAACCTGACCACCCGATACACAATTTAATCGACTCACCACGAGAATGTTATGAGTGAGTGAGTATGGTTTTACGCCGCTTTTAGCAATATTCCAGCAATATCACGGCGGGGGACACCAGAAATGGGCTTCACACATTGTACCCATGTCGGGAATCGAACCCGGATCTTCGGCGTGACGAGCGAACGCTTTAACCACTAGGCTACCCGACCGCCCAGAATGTTATGAAGCTTAAAAGACATATTGAGTTAAGCATCACGCACAACCAATTCAGGTATAAATATTCCATTGATTAAGTATACCCAGATATAACCGCATAATGTTACCATGACAACGACGAATTCAATATTTATATTTTCTCGGGCTGATTTACAGTGAAACACTGGTAATATGGACGGTACTGTTCCTATTGTCCTGATTAGCAAGTGGCCTGCTTACGGAGTAACGTGTCTTTAATCATATACAATATCATACAATTGTGTCCGGGAGACGAGGGATCTGGATTGACGGGGTGTCACTTTACAATATTAATAACAAGTCAAGTCAAGTTCATTTCTCATAAGGGCGGTCGGGCAGCCTACTGGTTAAAGCGTTCGCTCGTCATGCCGAAGACCCGGGTTCGAATCCCGACATAGATACAATGTGTAAAGCCCATTTCTGGTGTCCCACGCCGTGATATTGCTGGAATATTGCTAAAAGTGGCGTAAAACCATACTCACTCACCAATTCTCATAAATAACATGTGATACAGAGAGGGTATATATACATATGTACATATATACAGACATAGACATGTTCAGTTAGAATTCCTAGATAGTAAAAAAAATTAGTAGTAATAACAGCATAAGATTATACATGGTATGTGTGAGTATATACAGATATACAAAATATAAACTATTCCCATTATTTATACAATTTCATTAAACTGACTATTATTATTCCGCTGCTTTTCAGGGCCTAGCTGGGTGCGACCAGCGCCTTATTAAGGAACATGGCCGTGTTGTTGGGTACGTATATCGGACGAAATCCATCGGTAACCTTGACTGCTTATGCAAAGACAGTAAAAGTATACTTATGGTCTCTGATTTCGATATTGGTACACTGTAGTCTTGTTCATCCGAACTCCTTCAGTGTTGAATAAAGACTTTTGTTCAAGACAGAAATCCCCAAGATTTGACCCCAAAGGATTTGCTCTCTGGTCATGCGGGTTGCTTGCAAAAATATGTGTTGTTAAAAAAATGAAAATGATCGGCTCCTCATTTAACAGAAAAAATGCGTGTTTGTTATCTCCTAGTTGCCGAATATTCTATTTCTTACAAAAATCCTGGTAAGCGTTGTCATATGATTTGCTGTGCACACAGAGTGGGAGAAACAATATAATCCAAGTCATCATTAACGTTATTCAGTTATCAACAGACATATTTGATGCTTTGCTTTTTAGTATAATTGCTGTATTAAACCATAGAATTTAAAAATATTTCGGGGCACATTGGCACAGTTCGTGTTTTGGAATCCCGTTTCGCCCTGAATATGTTTCCCGGCTTGTCAGCAATGTACACGTGTTCGTTGGTTTTACCAAGGTGAAAACTAAACCTTGCATCACTTCGGGCGTCCCTCCCCCATCGAGCTGGCACGCCGTGATATAACTGCAATCCTGCCCAAAGCGGCGTTGAACCAACTCCAAACTGGTTCCCATTTCAGCGTGTTTCATGGTCGAATCCCTTCCCTCCTCGTCTCAGACCCCGCCATGATCAAACAGATTTGTGTGAAGGACTTCTCTAACTTCGTCAACAGATCGGTGAGTGCTCATGGATCTTGAGTGAGCGAGTGAATGCTTTTTTGAGCACTCTTTAGGGCATGGATCATCATAAATATACACATCATTATTAACTGCTTAATAGATTAATTATACATATTTAGTTTTACCAAAATTAAGCTTTTCGTGAACACCTGGCGTCATCACTGGCTCTCACTATCCATTCATATAATTTTCACCCCTATTTTGTCTTTTAGGCCCAATGGGATCTGTTTTATGGGATAATTGAGAGTTATTACTCCCTGGCGTTGAGGTTTTATATTTACAGTGCAGACAAATTGAGTGGATTTTGAATGGCTTGAATCAACTTGTTGGGTCTGTCAATTGGATCGAGCTGAGTCTCCATTTAAGCACTCATCGAATGAATAAATGCGGTTTTTGATACTTTAGCACACACGTCACCTAAGACTTGTAGTAGTTGCTTATTTGCATGTCTGTCTCAGACGTTCGGTCCTGTGCCGAAGATCGTGATGGACTGCATCGCTGAGATCTACGATGAACATTGGAAGTTCATGCGCTGTGTCCTCAGCCCTACCTTCAGTACAGGTAAACTCAAACAGGTAAATACTGCCTTCATTACCGGTAAACTTAAACAGGTAAATACTGCCTTCATTACAGGTAAACTTAAACAGATCAATAGTGTCCACGTTACATGTAAACACAAACAGGTAAATAGTATCTTCAGTACAGGTAAACTCAAACAGGTAAATACTACCTTCATTACAGGTAAACTCAAACAGGTAAATACTGCCTTCATTACAGGTAAACTGAAACAGGTAAATGCTGCCTTCATTACAGGTAAACTTAAACAGATCAATACTGTCCACGTTACATGTAAACACAAACAGGGAAATAGTATCTTCAGTACAGGTAAACTAAAACAGGTAAATACTACCTTCATTACAGGTAAATACAAACAGGTAAATACTGCCTTCATTTCAGGTAAACTTAAACAGATCAATAGTGTCCACGTTACATGTAAACACAAACAGGTAAATAGTATCTTCAGTACAGGTAAACTCAAACAGGTAAATACCACCTTCATCACATGTAAATTCAAACAGGTAAATACTACATGTACCTTCATCACATGTAAACTCAAACAGGTAAAATACACTTTGTAAGTATGTCTCAAAATAAAGAAAATATGTACAGGTGAATCTAACCAAGGGAGTATACATAGACATACAGGTAAACATATATACATGCCATTATATACAGACTAACTCAAACATGTATGTGTATATTCAAACATATATACAGGCAAATATACAAAGACAAATGTACATAGTCAAATATATACGTATACACTCAAACAGGTGACAGTTGACAGGAACAATTATACTAGTAAAAACTTATACTGACATCTTAGCACAACTCAATGCATACAGACAAACCCCGACCACAAAGGGGTATTTTCAGTTGTAAATTTGAAATAGGTAGACAAGTGATTCGGTTAGCTTAAAGGAATACGAAATGGGCTTTTACGGCTTAGCAAGGCGTGTGAGTGAGTAAGCTGGGTTTCGTTCTGGTTCACGCTGCAACTGATACATTTTTCAGTTCTGTGAGGGTGTGTAGGGGACGGTGCGTGTGTCCCGAGGGACAGGCACGCAAACGGTACTGCATCCTTAGAAAATCGGCTTTTTTTCCATTTGTCCTCAGTGTTTGTACTTGACAAAAAATGTTTACTGTGTTAATATTTTCTGTTAGTTTTACTCAGTTCTAATTTGTAGCAAAATTGAAACAGTGAGAACTGGTATATAATTGTAGAACCCGAAATGCTTCTTGCAAATGAGGACTACCATCATTGGATATTTACGTGTCCTCCGCACAAGTTAGTGGTGTCGGAGGAGCGTGAATTTCGAAGGATGTACTGCGCATCTATGGTACAAATAATTCCGAATCGGAACTTCAAAGTCGTTACCAGGTCCTGTTGCCAGCTAAGGGGCATAACTCTATAGCGTTGAATCTAGGCTATTGAGAATCTTTGTTTCAGGATGATTGTGTCCTGTAAACTGAGAGTGAGTGAGTTGGGTTTAACGCCACTTTTAACAGTATTCCTGTCATATCACGGCGTCTCAGCTTAATGTGGGAGGAAAGCCCGAAGTGATGCAGGTCTCAGACGTTTACCCCTTCGGTGAAACCCACGAGCACGGGTATGGTGCTGACAAACCTAGAAACATAATCGGGGCGAACCGTGATCATAGGTTTGTGCGAATCGCGGCGCCTTAGACGACTGGGCCACCCGTGCCCCCGTCCTGTAAACTGACAATGTGTAATGTTTGAATGAAGATTTCTGATTTGGGCAGATGATGGTCCTGATAGAGAGATGTACACAGTTGCTGGTCAGGAACGTGGATAAACATGCAGGGGAGAAGAAAAACATCGAACTGAAACAGTAAGGCTCGATCAGGGCGGAAGCTAGGAATCATGATCATAACGCATTAACATTGGAAACAACAAAGACATCATCAAAATCAGACAATGCTATTAATTTCTATGTATATATTATGATTTTTCTAGATATACTAACCAATCCCGTTAAAGCCGATCTAATAGATCCGGTGGTCATGCTCGGTGACTGGATTGCGTGTCATCGTAAACCGAGGGCATGGGGGTTGCTCATGATATCAGTCACTGGTTTGCCTGATCCAGACTTGATGTTTTACAGGCGGCCGTCATTTAACTGGAATATTGCTGAGTGCGGCGTCAAACAAAAAATACCAACACACAAACTTATTCTTGATACAGTCTGATGGGTTGCTACACCATGGACGTGATCGCCAACACCGGCTTCAGCATCGACCTCGACAGCCAGTCCAACTCCGACAACGTCTTCGTCACCTACTGCCGGAAGGCAATGAAGCTAACCTTCCCATTTATCTTCCTTGTTACACGTGAGTTACATGTTGTTACTTGACCCAATCACGCGAGATCTCGTTAGCACTTTGGTAACCTGTGTTCTGTATAATATAATAATATTATCAACAAACGCTATAAACAAATCTCTGATGAAACAGACCCGTGAAGATCCGGGGTAGAATAGGTCTTCAGCAACCCATGCATGCCGTATATGGCGACTATGCTTGTCGTAAAAGGCGACTAACGGGATCGGGTGGTCAGGCTCTCTGACTTCGTTGATGCATGTCATCGATCCCAATTGCGAGGATCCATGCTCATGATGTCAATCACTGGATTGTCTGGTCCAGACTCGATTATTTACAGACCGCCGTCATATAGCTGGAATATTGCTGAGTGCGGCGTTCAACAACAAACCAACCAACCAACCATTCTGGTGAAACAGTCATTTGGATATTTCAGAATATGAACTGCTGAACATGTATTCAATGAAACTGCATACAAACCGCACATTGACTGATATTAATATACGGGTCGTATCGCATACTGAATCTAAAAAGAACTAATACTGTTTTTACCATGTGACCTATGTGTGGATTCCTTAACGGTTGAAGTTGAAACTGGTACTTTCAGTGCTGTTTCCATTCACCAAGTCCGTGTTTGAGAAGGTGGACTTCCAGATTCTGGACACCGACAAGGACAAGGCCAAGTTCCGTTCTATGATAAAACAGGTGATCGAGGACAGAAAGAACAACCCCGACTCCGTGAGTACTCCAATATAACAGCATCGCGGCATTATGGGGTGGAGGCAATCTCATTAAAATTAGATCTTAGTTCTCGCTTCCGCTGAACAATTGTCTAAAGACATCCCATTTATATGGGTTCCGCCAGAACGACCTCTCATCAGACCAATCAGAGCGTCGCTTACCAGATCAGGAAAGTGACGGTCGGAATGTGTTTTTTTTTAATCATGCAACCTGGAAAACGTTAACACGAGGTGTTCCGAACTACAGATACGGGCTGTACGACTGATTCCGTCAAAATCATCGTCTATCTCTCGCTCCAGTAGCATAAACATCTGAGACTTTGCATAACCCGTGTGAAGTGCTGCCATACAATCTCGGCCACCTGTTCGACATTCCAGAAGGTATTGTATTCAGTTTTCAAATTTTGAATCGAGAACTTGGTGAAACTATTTTCAAAGCTAGTCTGGAATGGAAGTCACCAGTTTGAAACTGGTGCCGTAATGAGCGAGAAAACGGCTTTCTGAATGGCTAATGTCGACTTCTTGTTAGTCATTTGATTGGTCCTTCAAAGTTCGCGAAAGGTTCTGACGTGACCTGTATTTGGATGTTATCAGATCTTTGTTTCGCAGTAGCGAGACTTGATTTTAATGAGATTCGGGTGGAGGAGGCAGGTTGTGCTTCGTGCTTGTCATGGGATCCGACTGACGTAGTTATAACAGGGTGGAATACTACATGGATGTGTGTCCACTGAAGAGTGAGTGAGTGATTATTGAATAACGCCGCGTTAGCAGTCTTCTAGCCATACACGGTGACTGTCTACTGAAGAACACTAGGGGTGACCTGACATTCTTGTGCAACCTGACCTGGGTTCACTTGCAGTAAGCGACCTAGCACTACGACGATCGTAACTCCGATACTCTATCACAGACTTACGATAGTCGTAGCGCTAAGATCTTTTCGTGCAAGTGGACCCAGGTCGTTGTTCACTACAGGGTTGTCCTGTTCACATTTTCAACGACGCCGAGATTTAGGCGGCGTATTAACTTATTAACTCACACACTCCAAATCCGAGAATATGTTATAATATGAGGCTTTCCACTTAGTCTTTGGTGTAAAGGGCGGTGGGGTAGCTAGAGGTTACAGCGTTCGCTCGTCACGCCGATGGCCAAGGTCAAAGTCAAAGTCAAAGATATTTATTGCATGTAAGGTCCATATACAAAGGAAATTACATGTGAGTAGTTTTACATATTGAGATATATACTAATGTTTAACAATTCGTTTATGGGAGAAATTGCATTTTTAACATATACAGCCAGTTTAAATGCAACAGCAGCATCTTTTGAAAAGAGAAGAGAAATATAAGCATGATGATATGACAGATAGCGCTCTGCTATAAACTTGTTTGTTAGATCACAATAAGGACGTAAAAGTAAAATGAATTTTATTTTCTTTAGCTGACTGACGTAATGGGCATAACCTCTTTGATCTTTCAGTGGACATTTCTCTTCCTTCATTCAGCATTAGATATAAAGATCCAAACATAAATTGAATAAATGGACGCCGAAGGGTTATTGATGTTAATGTTAAATATTTTTTGGGTTGAAAAAGACTCATAAATAAAAGTTCTTTACAAGTCATACCTTGAGCTGTTTTCTAGACTGGAATGCCATCTTGGTAAAACATATTTATAGATTGTTCACAAAATTGTTTCAAGAAGAGTTAGAAACCACCAACTGTTTGGTTCACCCATACAAAGTCGTAGCCGCGAGAAAGCCAAAGGTTTCTAATATGTGATGTCCATGTTACTTTGCCCATGTCATCTGAATGTACAAGCCTATCATAAGCAAGTTTGGGGATTCTGCCATCATGCATTCCAAGAACATTAAACACGTATTTCACTTATATCACTAACCCTATATCACTTATCCACCACTGAACGGTTAAAAGATAATCATAAATCACACAACCTGGCTTATGTAGTACATGTCACCGCACAGGGCCACGGTGACATCCTGCAGGCGATGTTGGACACCCACAAGGAGGAGTCTGCAAGAGACGCGGATGATGATTCTGATGAAGATACAGAGACCACGCTTGATTTCAAGTACTTCAAGAAGCGAGGTAGTCACCATAAAGGGAACATCGAAAATGTAAACCTTGTTCTTTGAACGTGCAGAAAACACAGTAAAATGTAATGGACTCCCTTTACCGTAATGGTTGACAGTGACAAAACATGGTCCTCTTTGAGAGAAAATGACCAAGGACGGATCCAGCATTTTTTTAAGAGGGGGTCCAACATATGAAATTCCTCTCTTTGTCAGTTTTACTGCCTACAAATTACTACATTTGATTTTCAAATGGAGAGGGTGGGGTGTGGAGGTGGGGGTGGTGTGTGTGTGTGTGTGTGTGTGTGTGTGTGTGTGTGTGTGTGTGTGTGTGTGTGTGTGTGTGTGTGTGTGTGTGTGTGTGTGTGTGTGTGTGTGTGTGTGTGTGTGTGTGTGTGTGTGACTGGTCCCTCCATATGATGTCAGATATCAAATATGAAATGTGTGTGTCAATATGGACGAAGACCACGCATAGCCACCACCTTCAAAATACCAACACTACACTTGGCTGTGTTAGTGTCTGCGCTTACCCAGATCTACGTGACGTACGTGTAGGTGTATCGTGTTTATATTTCAGGTTTGACAAACTACGAGATCTTCTGCAACTCCCACATCTTCCTCCTTGCCGGCTACGACACCACCTCCAATGCTCTGACCTTCACCGCCTATCTCTTGGCCAAACACCCCGAGATCCAGGAGAGGTTGTACCAGTCGATAAGGACTCACATTGGTGATGTAAGTACCCACACTGTGATCCAGGAGAGGCTGTACCAGTCGATAAGGACACACATTGGTGTTGTGTAATCACACAACCTGTGATATAGGTTTAAAACAAAATTTATGTTCAACACCATTTCTGTTTTCAAAAAGATCCGTCCTGGTAAACGAGTATGCGGCGGGATTTGGCGTTACACGCTCACAGTAAATGCATGCAATATCACTACTCCATTGCTGTCCGAGATATTATGTCATTAGCGGAATAAGCCGAGTGGATCCGACTGACCGATATCCAGGTGGGATCCATTATCCAGTAGCTAATGACACCCACACTCAGAAGATTCTTCAAAGAAATCTATCTGACGCCAATTTTAGATTTGATAAGTGTATTTCCTTAAATATGGCAACAGACGTGCTAGTGTCCGCCAGCGGTATGCCAGTGATGTGCGCCCTCATATGTACCAGATCGGTCTGCGAAAAAGATATTTTGAATTCACTTCTCCCATTTAGACATTCAGAAAAATATATTGTCAAGTCTCATTTGATTTACATCCCGGAAATGTTTTTGCCTCAGCGTGTATACTTCTGTTTATGTAGAAGAAGCCCACGTATGCCGAGGTGACGAAGCTGCAGTATCTGGAGAACGTGTTCCTGGAGACTCTGAGACTCTACCCTCCGGCAACCAGGTCGGTGGAGCCCGAGGCAGACGCTTCCTACACCTACATACATATCGTTCTTGTGCATGGACCGCCTCCGTGGTCTAGTGGTAGAGCGTCCGCCCGGAAAGCCGAAGGTCCGGGGTTCGATCCCCGACCGCGTCATACCAAAAGACGTTAAAAGATGGTACTTGTTGTTACCCTGTCTTGCGTTCGGCATTAAGGGGCTAAAACAGGGACTGGTCGGCCCGGAGTCAGTATACTGTGTCTGAGTGGGGTATTCATGTTAAACTGCGGTATCTCAGTGAGCTAGCACTATAAATCGGCATCAGTCCGGACTAGTACAAGCAGCCACACAAACACACACACGTACATGCACGTCGCTATATAAGTGCAATAATCTTGGACGCGACGTTAAACCCCATTTCACCTCACCTCTTGTGCATGTAAGACTGACGTCACTACTACTCAATAATACTGGTGAGGTGAGGTGAAATGGGGTTTAACGTCGCATCCTAGATTATTGCACTTATATAGCGACGTGCATGCACGTGTATGTGTGTGTGTGTGTGTGTGTGTGTGTGTGTGTGTGTGTGTGTGTGTGTGTGGCTGCTTGTACTAGTCCGGACTGATGCCGATTTATAGTGCTAGCACACTGAGATACCATGCCGCAGTTTAACATGAATATCCCACTCAGACACAGTATACTGACTCCAAGCCGACCAGTCCTTGTTTTAGCCCCTTAATGCCGAGCGCCAGACAGGGTAACAACAAGTACCATTTTTTAACGTCTTTTGGTATGACGCGTCTGGGGATCGAACCCCGGACCTTCCACGTAGGCTGTCCTCTCAATAATACTGAACAAAAGCCTTTTGCATCAACACCCTGCTTGATCGTTATGATGCATCTCTTGCAGCTAGCGGTTGAGTGGGAAGGACAGCATTCACTCCATATGCTTTGTTTGTTTGTGGAAGAATATATTATGTATGCTTCGTTGACTATCTGTTAGTGACTATTTGTTTTGTTTGTTTGTTTATTGTTTAACGACTCACTCAGCAATATGCCAGCTATATGACGGCGGTCTGTCAATAATCGTGTCTGACCCAGACAATCCAGTGATGAACACCATGACCATCGATCCATGCAATTGGGATACGATGAGATGTATCAACCAAGTCAGAGAGCTTGACCATCCGATCTCTTTAGTCGCCCCTTACGACAAGCATAGTTACCTTTTACGGCAAGCATGGGTTGCTGAAGACCTAGTCTACCCGGGTCGTCATGGGTGACGTATGCTGTACCCCATTTACAAACCTGGAATTCCGTCTCTTCCAGGATCACGCGAGTTCCAGGCAAGAGCACCACCATCAACGGGTACCACATCCCCGCCGGCCTGCCTATAATCATACCGGTGTACGCCATACAGCACGATCCAGAATTCTGGTCAGATCCGGAAAAATTCGACCCTGACAGGTAGAATGAGCTAAGGGGTACATGTATATATGGCCGAATGGTCTTTTACTTAATATTCCTAAACATGTCTTTCATTTCTACCAATCACTGTGCTGTTACTTATTGCATTGTATTTTTAACAAAAGGACTAAAGTAGAATAACGTTCCTCTTTTCAAAATCGGACGGCGCAGAAATCCATGGCACAGATGCGTCCATTAGGCATTCCAGAAATCTATGATTGTGGGTTTGAATCCTGGTTCATCCCGATTATGTTTCCAGGTTTGTCAGCACCGTACCCGTGCTCGTGGGTTTCGCCAAAAGTAGGAAACATCGGGCTATGCATCATTTCCTCCAAAATTAAGTTGACACGCCATGAACATACTGTTCAATGCGGCGTTAAACACAACTCACTTTACATTATCCAGGTTTCTCCCCGAGAATAAGCATGAGCTTCACAACTACATGTGGATGCCGTTTGGCGTCGGGCCCCGGAACTGTCTGGGCATGAGGCTGGCCTTGTTGGAAGCCAAGATGGCGATAGTGGCGTTAGTGCAGAACTTCCGGTTTGTTGTGAGCCCGGAGACAGAGGTCAGTTGTTTAACCCGTAGCCACCATTATTTCCACACTTTCGTTAGCTCACCTGACTATAAGCCCTGTCACCCGTCGTATCTGTCGTCCCCTATGCATCTTCCCGAGGCAAGGGAGTTAACCGACTTTAAAAGTCAAGTTTTCACCCTTGCCGAACTACGATGGAATTTCTGTGATCGATCGTAGCGCCATCAGTGGCGATTACGAGTTATGTCCCTTCCGTGACCCTCTAATTGACCAATTAGATTCCACCTCTCATATTACTTGCATTTGCTGCAAACCAAATGGCGGCGCCCAGTTAAGACGATCAAATCGGTCATCAAAATCTATATTGTAATAAAACGGGTCTTCCTTTGCGAAGTGCATCAAATCACGTGAGCACCTTGATTAAAAACATGAAAAGATTTGGAAAATATCTGTTGACGCCGTGTTGGCGGTACACATGCATTGCAAATCCTGCAATCGACTGAAACCTGCACTGCAGATTACGAACCGGATGTCGGTTTCGTAAACCGAATTTGATTAGGCTTTGCATAGATTCGTTAGTTCAGCCAAAATATGACTCCATAATTCCAGCCTAGTTCGACAAGTGCGGAAACTGTACTTTTATAGTCAGTTAACTCCCTTGCCCCGGGAAGATGTCCGCTATGGTAAATTGTAAACATTTTCTTCTGACACTTGTATTACAATTCAAGCGGTTCCGATCCACATTTCAATATGACGGCACGGCTGTCATAATGGAAACTAGTTTTTCCACAATAAACAAACATATATGTTTCATGTTATTTCTGTATTTTGAAATCTGGCGTTTCTATTACCTTTTTAAGGCGAAGATGTCATTTTGTCTAAAAAAATATTTGTTTACGTCTTCTTTGTATTTACACGGGGTATTAAGACAAAAGGGTCAATTTCGGTGTCACAACATATCTCTCTCTTCTTTATGACTTAGCATTTTAACCATGGTGAACTATAATGAATATTATCGTTCTATGGGGCGTTTTGTTGATTACATTGTACGTTTTGAAAGGTATTTCTGTTTGCATTTTCAGGCTTCTGTGAAACTTGAAAAGGGAGGTTTCGTTAGACCAGAGAACAATCTTTATATCGGCGTTGAAAGACGCGAGCAGACTACATTACAGTCTTCAACCCAGAGGCACATATGAACTAATTACCTTTCACATGACGAATCTTCACAAGATTACACACGAATTGGAAACTAAGTTGTCTGTGCGATATATTTAGTAACGAGGTAACTGGTAAGGTCAAGAAACTGAAGATGTCCCTTGTTGAGGTGAATGTCTGGGGCGATTTCCATCACCTATCGTCAACAGTACTGTAGGGGACGTGACGGAGTGTGTAAGTAGTGTTTTCGTCATTTTAAGAATACGGTCTCGTGAAAACGTATGACCGTCAAATTGTGTCGTCCATACACTTATGAACGACAATTTCGCGGTCATGTGACCGACCTATCGTTCAATGAAAAGCCGTATATAGAGTAAACATCACGTAAAACATTATATAGCTTCAAACGCCATACATGCTAGCGCTTATTACGCATTACGATCAGTGGTGGTAAACGCACAGATCAGGACCTCGTTCAGGGGCTACGTTCAAACCGCTTTGTACGCAGTGCGAGAACTTTAACGACTGTCTAAAACAGAACAATTTTATTCAAGATTTAGAATATGGGAATCTATTTTTGAAATAAATATATGTTTACAAAATATGGTTAGTGTCATGAGTTTTATTCCTCCTTGTCAAACAAGATGACGTCATCAGTCAGTTGTGAGCAGGGCGGGCCAAGTTGTCGAAGGCGCCCCAATTCGCCGAGTTACGTCCCTTGGGTACGCCCAAAACCTATCATTGGGTGTTCGACTACCGGTTCGCCAGTTTTATCAGTACCATACCCATGCTTATGGTAAACGTCTGAGACCCGCATCAACTCGGGCTTTCTTCCTATATTAAACTCACAAGCCGTGTTATAACTCAAAATACTGTTAAAAGCGGCGTTAAACCCACTCTCACTTGGAAGCAATAAATTCATCTAAACAACGGACAGTAGAGCGTCGAATGGATGGATTGACGCTTGGACCTCTCGGCTCACTGGAATAATTTCAGCCCCACCGTAATAATATAAATATACTTAATTAATATAATGGACGTGGAATACACCCAACTGATGCATCCTCACAGCGCTGCATTATTACCCCGGTAAATGGATCAGTGTAAACTCGAATTTCATCTCGGCTCCCTGGGGATCAAACAACCAAAGCTGCTGGAAGGCTTACAGTCCTATTACCATCTCCTCCTCCTCCTCCTCCTCCTCCACCTACTCTCAAGAGTCAAGGGCGGTCGGGTAGCCTAGTGGTTAAAGCGTTCACTCGTCACACCGGAGACCCGGGTTCGATTCCCGACATGGGTACAATGAAGCCAGTTTCTGGTGTCCCCCGCCGTGATATTGCTGGAATATTGCTAAACGCGGCGTAAAACCATACTCAATCACTCTTCTGGACACTGTCCAGCGACTGGCAGAATGGGTGTCGCTGCTGCTGCTGAATTCTCGAATGGATAACACGTATGTAGCGGTTTTTTTCTGTTTGGTGATGACAGGGGGGCTGCCACTCCTAGAACTATCTCTGGTCATCCCCGGTGACTGTGACTGTCATTCGGCTCCAGCCCAAACTCCTTGTGACGTGGTCGTGCCTTGTTCCTTTATGTATATGGTCACGATATGGCTGAAATATTGCCGATGTGACGTTAAATTTAACTCACTCACTCCTTTATGTATACTCACTCAAGAGTCAAGCTTGCCTAACAGTCTTCCATCCACCTACTCTCACTTTAATCTCTGGCGAAGAAAAATGGCTCGCGGAATACAATTTATATTCCCAATGTATGATATTTACGATACGGGAACACACTTGCCTAATGGTCTGTATATTTTAAAGAATGTTAAAACAGAAACCCTCTATACGTCGCACTCAACAACATTCCAGTCATATGACAGCGGCAAGTTAATACTCGAATCTGGACAATCCAGTGATCGATATTGTGGGCAATGATCCACGCTGTCGGGGGATTATGACATTGCATGTCACCGAGCGTGACCACCAGATCGATTTGGTAGCGTCTTAGTAGCGACCAGTTTACGTTATTAGGTTGCTGGGGACCACTTCTAAGCCGGAATCACCGCGAGGGGACTAATTCAGTAATAGAACGATTTCAAAGAAGGAAATACAAAGAAAAGGAAGAAACCTATTCATTAAAAAAAGACGTTTGAAAAATGTCTTTCTATTACGTCTTAGATTAAGCGTTCGCCAGAACGAGGAGCGTTAATGTTACTACCAGGCTGATCCCTGTGTCACGTGCTGTTCGTGTGCAGGCTGTGTTCGTAGAAGTCTTGGTTGGCTTGCACAGATCCAGAGTTTTCAGGAAGTCCCTTCCCAATTGGGTAGTGTTGAGAAGACTGTTGACATAGTCGGTAATGTCTCCTCCTTTGAGGCAAGGGTGGTCCATGGCCTTCTTCACTGCTGTCCTACACGACTCCGAACACGACGTCCAGTTGGTGCAAGACACGTCTATGTCATCGTAGATCATCATGGAATCGTTGCTCTTGCCGTCCACAAAGTCCAGAGCATTGCACCCAGCCATGACGACTGATCTGGTCTTGACGGCACAGATCTCCACTGACTTGTAGGTGTCACAGTAGGGCTCTGACATGGCTTCTGACGGGTAGAACCACAGATAGCCATAGCACATCTCGTCCGAGGTGGCATCTCCGTAGTACACAGTCTTTCTGGAGTTGGTGGACTTGTAGGTACAGGTGGTCAAGAGTTCATCGCCCGGCTTCACCTCTATTGGAGGGTCGAATCTGGAAAAGATAGAAATGAAAGACAGTACCTTTAAAACTCGTCCTATACTATCCAGGGTATATTATATATCAATTCAATTATGATAAATACTCGAAAAGCGATCTTAGTGCCAAGGTGATCGTAACGCCTATACTTTAACATGGGCTTACTATCATAGTAGTGCTAAAATCGCAAACTGAAACGGGGCCCTTGACCTATTCGCCAAATTAGCTTTGTTTTGTGTCCCGTTTGAATTACATGATGCTAACAGTGAGTGAGTACGGCTTTACGCCGCTTTTAGCAATATTCTAGCAATATCACGGCGGGGGACACCAGAAATGGGCTTCACACATTGTACCCATGTCGGGAATCGAACCCGGGTCTTCGTCGTGACGTGCGAACGCTTTAACCACTAGGCTACCCGACCGCCCCTCAACGATCAGTAAAAAACGCTTGTGATCGATGCAATTCTCTATTTTGACTTGTACCACGTTCCCGTGTGTTTTTCAGGTGAACGATTACTTGACTTTGCACTTGTTGGAGATGGGTTCCTGATATACTGACCTTTTCATGAACACTTTGTATCATCACTTTTAGATAGTGATTAATAAACACATGCTCTTGATACAGTCGGAATCGTACAATCGATTCTGCTTTTAGCAGAGATACGTTGTGCCTATGGAAAGGGTATTGTCGCTTTTATATTCATGATTGAAAGTGGTGATCATCCGTCAACATTCGTATCTTTCCGTAACCAACAAGAAGGTCCCGGAATAGACCGAGTTGGTCACGAATGAAGTGGCGATATCACCATGTCGACTCGACTTCTGAGTGCCGTCTCAAATACAACCGAAATGTCGTTTAGCGTAAGTGCTTCCCTAACCCTGATTCGTGTAACTACATCTATATGTTATGGTAGTCATTTTTGTGAAGCCATTCGAAATAGGAGTGAGTGAGTGTGGTTTGACGCCGCTTTAAGCAATATTTCAGCAATATCACGGCGGTGAACATCAGAAATGGGCTTCACACATTGTACCCATGTCGGGAATCGAACCCGGGTCTTCAGCGTGACGAGGGAACGCTTTAAACACTAGGCTATCCGACCGCCCCTCGTGTCATTGTGACAGACTGAAACTTGTTTGCGTGTTGCTTAAGCCCGCACTTCCTACTATTCAACCAAAACCACACCGTTACACTTTAGTTTCTCGAGGGTTTCTTCACAATATGAAATATCGATTATATTGTTTATCAAAATATCGAATTTATACTTTCTGGTAAATATAGTTTTTCACCACTAAGAGTGTTTGTACTTACTCATAGAACTTTGGGTCGTCATAGCTGAAGACGAGGTCGTTGGTGATGTACCTCAGTCTTGTGCCGTCCCGGATCAGTTCCACGGACTGGGCGGTACCTACGTGGAACAGATACAGTCAGCTCTGGATATGTCGAACTTCATATATACCGAACTATGGATATACCGAACTCCGGATGTCACGAGCTACAAAACTAACGAACAGTAACGAAAGGGACCTTATGGGTGCTGGGAAACAATCGTGCCGTGACGTTTAAAAGAATGACGTTTGACGTCAACTAACTTCCGTAAAAATCGCCACGTGTGCGGACTGTAAAGAAATATCTTCCTCTCTTTTTATCTCGCGTTCGATCGTTCGTTATGCAATGAAAACATTACTTTAAAAACAATTCAGCATACATGCCTACGTTCGATTGATCAGACTTTATATCTAAAAACTGAGGCAGTTGTTACATATACCAGGCCTCCCCAACATGCTGTTTCTCCCAGTGATTAGATGAGGGTGGTGGATGTTATCACAAACTACAGTGACGTGCGTGTTTCATCTCTGCCTGGTCGTATGCCCAAATAGAAGCATTATAGGGTGATGGCTTTGCCAAGTGACACAACAAAGACTGGAGTGTACAATATGTATATTGCATCGTCACAGAATCAAAGCACTGTATCCCTGTCAACCTCTAATTCCATATGGTTAAAATACCTACCTCGCATGTAATGCACCCGTCATCTAATCTAGCTAAAACAAAGACTGGTCGGCTCGGAGACAGTATACTGTGTCTGAGTGGGGTATTCATGTTAAACTGCGGCATGGTATCTCAGTGGGCTAGCACTATAAATCGGCATTAGTCCGGACTAGTACAAGCAGCCACACAAACACACACACGTGCATGCACGTCGCTGTATAAGTGCAATAATCTTGGACGCGTCGTTAAACCCAATTTCACCTCACCTCACCTTATATTTGGTGTCTGCTGTGACGGTGGCCCTGAGCAAGTCAACTTCCTTATTGATAAAGTTGATTACACCGGAAAAGGTGCTAACTATTCCCTATAAAGCTCTGTTCATCACTATTGAGTGAGTGTGTGAGTATGGTTTTACGCCGCTTTTAGCAATATTCCAGCAATAACACGGCGGGGGACACCAGAAATGGGTTTCACACACTGTACCCATGTCGGGAATCGAACCCGGGTCTTCAGCGTGACGAGCGAACGCTTTTACCACAAGGCCACCCGACCGCCCCTCATCACTATTGGGACACCTTTGCCATACCTTCAGATTCAATCAATCTGCACTGTGATAATTGTGTGGGGCAAAGTAAGAATAACGCTTCACTGGTGTATTTGATCTGGAGGATTATAACAGGAAGATATCATTCTTAATTAACTTAGTTTCCTGCATGTTGGTCATACCCGGTTTGGGCCTGACTGGTATTTGGTATTTATTCAAGCAGAAGTATCGAAGATCAGACGTTTCCTTTTTGAATGACATAGCAGATGTCCGTAAGAGGTCATCAAAGTATCAGAAGATTCATCTGTCCATGATGTTGGCAATTAAGCAGTTTATGTAATTAGGAGGAATGTGTTGATTGTACATGTATGACGTTTACTCTTTGTTTTGTTTGATATTCGGACTTTGTTAATCCGTCACTGGAATCCTGTGTTCACCTGATGTATTCTAATCATATACCTACTATTGAAAATTCATATTTCCTTAAATAGAATTGCATAAGTCACTTTATCAGTAATTGTATTCCTGTAATGTTATGTTCTATAGGCCTGTGGCCTCCAAGTTGAAAAATAAAGGTGTTTGATCTTCGTCGGAATAAAAACTGCGGATAGTAAACCAAGTTTTTAAAAAGGATCTGGCCTAATCAGTTGGTCCAAATAATTCATATTCTACAGCAGCGTATGGTTCGTAAGGGAAGTTAGATTCTACACTGGACATTAGAGGGTAGCAGGGAATGGTTCGTAAGAGACGTTAGATTCTACACTGGACAATAGAGGGTAGCAGGGAATGGTTCGTAAGGGAAGTTAGATTCTACACTGGACAATAGAGAGTAGCAGAGAATGGTTCGTAAGAGAAGTTAGATTCTACACTGGACAATAGAGGGTAGCGGTGAATGGTTCGTAAGAGAAGTTAGATTCTACACTGGACAATAGAGGGTAGCAGGGAATGGTGCGTAAGAGAAGTTAGATTCTACACTGGACATTAGAGGGTAGCAGTGAATGGTTCGTAAGAGAAGTTATATTCTACACTGGACAATAGAGGGTAGTAGGGAATGGTTCGTAAGAGAAGTTAGATTCTACACTGGACATTAGAGGGTAGCAGTGAATGGTTCGTAAGAGAAGTTAGATTCTACACTGGACAATAGCGGGTAGCGGGGAATGGTTCGTAAGAGACGTTAGATTCTACACTGGACATTAGAGAGTAGCAGTGAATGGTTCGTAAGAGAAGTTAGATTCTACACTGGACAATAGCGGGTAGCAGTGAATGGTTCGTAAGAGAAGTTATATTCTACACTGGACAATAGAGGGTAGTAGGGAATGGTTCGTAAGAGACGTTAGATTCTACACTGGACATTAGAGGGTAGCAGTGAATGGTTCGTAAGAGAAGTTAGATTCTACACTGGACAATAGCGGGTAGCAGTGAATGGTTCGTAAGAGAAGTTATATTCTACACTGGACAATAGAGGGTAGTAGGGAATGGTTCGTAAGAGAAGTTAGATTCTACACTGGACAATAGAGAGTAGCAGTGAATGGTTCGTAAGAGACGTTAGATTCTACACTGGACAATAGCGGGTAGCAGTGAATGGTTCGTAAGAGAAGTTAGATTCTACACTGGACATTAGAGGGTAGCAGAGAATGGTTCGTAAGAGAAGTTAGATTCTACACTGGACAATAGCGGGTAGCAGTGAATGGTTCGTAAGAGAAGTTAGATTCTACACTGGACAATAGCGGGTAGCAGTGAATGGTTCGTAAGAGAAGTTAGATTCTACACTGGACAATAGCGGGTAGCGGGGAATGGTTCGTAAGAGAAGTTAGATTCTACACTGGACAATAGCGGGTAGTAGGGAATGGTTCGTAAGAGAAGTTAGATTCTACACTGGACAATAGAGAGTAGCAGAGAATGGTTCGTAAGAGAAGTTAGATTCTACACTGGACAATAGAGGGTAGTAGGGAATGGTTCGTAAGAGAAGTTAGATTCTACACTGGACAATAGCGGGTAGCAGTGAATGGTTCGTAAGAGAAGTTAGATTCTACACTGGACAATAGCGGGTAGCAGTGAATGGTTCGTAAGAGACGTTAGATTCTACACTGGACAATAGAGGGTAGCAGAGAATGGTTCGTAAGAGAAGTTAGATTCTACACTGGACATTAGAGGGTAGCAGTGAATGGTTCGTAAGAGAAGTTAGATTCTACACTGGACAATAGAGGGTAGCAGAGAATGGTTCGTAAGAGAAGTTAGATTCTACACTGGACATTAGAGGGTAGCGGGGAATGGTTCGTAAGAGAAGTTAGATTCTACACTGGACAATAGAGGGTAGCGGGGAATGGTTCGTAAGAGAAGTTAGATTCTACACTGGACAACAGAGAGTAGCAGTGAATGGTTCGTAAGAGAAGTTAGATTCTACACTGGACAATAGAGGGTAGCGGGGAATGGTTCGTAAGGGAAGTTAGATTCTACACTGGACAATAGAGGGTAGCGGGGAATGGTTCGTAAGAGACGTTAGATTCTACACTGGACAATAGAGGGTAGCGGTGAATGGTTCGTAAGAGAAGTTAGATTCTACACTGGACAATAGAGGGTAGCAGAGAATGGTTCGTAAGAGAAGTTAGATTCTACACTGGACAATAGCGGGTAGCGGGGAATGGTTCGTAAGAGAAGTTAGATTCTACACTGGACAATAGAGAGTAGCAGTGAATGGTTCGTAAGAGAAGTTAGATTCTACACTGGACAATAGAGGGTAGCAGGGAATGGTGCGTAAGAGAAGTTAGATTCTACACTGGACATTAGAGGGTAGCAGTGAATGGTTCGTAAGAGAAGTTATATTCTACACTGGACAATAGAGGGTAGTAGGGAATGGTTCGTAAGAGAAGTTAGATTCTACACTGGACATTAGAGGGTAGCAGTGAATGGTTCGTAAGAGAAGTTAGATTCTACACTGGACAATAGCGGGTAGCGGGGAATGGTTCGTAAGAGACGTTAGATTCTACACTGGACAATAGAGGGTAGCGGTGAATGGTTCGTAAGAGAAGTTAGATTCTACACTGGACAATAGCGGGTAGTAGGGAATGGTTCGTAAGGGAAGTTAGATTCTACACTGGACAATAGAGAGTAGCAGAGAATGGTTCGTAAGAGACGTTAGATTCTACACTGGACAATAGCGGGTAGCGGGGAATGGTTCGTAAGAGAAGTTAGATTCTACACTGGACAATAGCGGGTAGCAGTGAATGGTTCGTAAGAGAAGTTAGATTCTACACTGGACAATAGCGGGTAGCGGGGAATGGTTCGTAAGAGAAGTTAGATTCTACACTGGACAATAGCGGGTAGTAGGGAATGGTTCGTAAGAGAAGTTAGATTCTACACTGGACAATAGAGAGTAGCAGAGAATGGTTCGTAAGAGAAGTTAGATTCTACACTGGACAATAGAGGGTAGTAGGGAATGGTTCGTAAGAGAAGTTAGATTCTACACTGGACAATAGCGGGTAGCAGTGAATGGTTCGTAAGAGAAGTTAGATTCTACACTGGACAATAGCGGGTAGCAGTGAATGGTTCGTAAGAGACGTTAGATTCTACACTGGACAATAGAGAGTAGCAGTGAATGGTTCGTAAGAGAAGTTAGATTCTACACTGGACAATAGAGAGTAGCAGTGAATGGTTCGTAAGAGACGTTAGATTCTACACTGGACAATAGAGAGTAGCAGTGAATGGTTCGTAAGAGACGTTAGATTCTACACTGGACAATAGAGAGTAGCAGTGAATGGTTCGTAAGAGAAGTTAGATTCTACACTGGACAATAGCGGGTAGCAGTGAATGGTTCGTAAGAGAAGTTAGATTCTACACTGGACAATAGCGGGTAGTAGGGAATGGTTCGTAAG